TGAGAGAGAGCTAAGTTTGTCAGCTCTGATTGTAAGTTCTTTTATTTCTAAGAAGATGAACCTGTGCTGGACTTGCACAAGATATTGTACGGAATTATTTGGATGTATATCTTTGATGTTTTTGCTCTGTTTTGAAGTTCTGCAAGTAAGGCTTTTGAGTAATATCCAATAGGTCTGGACGATGCTTCACTGGGCTAGATAGGGGGTGGGAAATGTTACTGGACTCCAGCTGCCACCCTCCATCACCGTTGGTCATGCAGGTTGGGTCTGATGAGAGTTGATGTCCAGCAATGTCTGAAGGGCCACAGGTTCCTCACCACTAGGCTATATCCTTTAGAGCTATGGGAAGCTCCCATACAACTTTATTTTAGGCTTACTGGCAGTAACAGACAGGTCTGGAGCCACCCTTCTCTTTCTGTGCCTCAGGATATTTTTTGGTGTTATGGTTCCCCCTGAGCCTTCAGATTCAGAGCAGAAGGTATTGGAGGATAAAGACTCTGACTGCCCATACTTTCCCCCAGTTATGGCCAAAAACAATAGGCAAATCAAATTTGAACTACCCTACCATTTGGCAGGATGGTACTGGGCAAGGCAACATTGCCTTCTGACCATCTGCAAATGATTGTCCCATTCCCTGTAACACAAGCAAATCCATCCTCCAGTAAAATGTTCATCATGAAATCTTTCCCCACTTTGGAACGACTAAGGGTCAGTTTGCTGACATGGTAAAATATGGTTTTAGCCCAAGGAAAACCTCTGTAGTACCAGGTAAATGGCTGTCTATCGCTCTCTTCCTCTCACGCCACACACAACTTTCTACACACATCCCCGAAACATTCCAAGGTGAAACGTAGCCACTTGCCCTTCCACTTAGGAAGGGTGTTTCAGGAAAAGGTCACAATGCACTTCAAAAATAAAATGCATGCACCATAATCCTTTTAGCTCCCTTGTACTAGTGCTGTGGGACAAGCTAATCAAACACAGTGCAAAGAGGTGAGGAAGCTATCCTGGGGATTGGCTATTGCCATGTGTTTCACAATTACAAAATATTATTTCACAGGTGGATCGCGATGGTTGGTGAATGGCGTTGACTATTGTTTTGTTGGTCAACATTGGCCTCCTTTAAGAATTATACAATTATACAATCTGTGAAGGGAGGTAGCGTAGCCTAGTGGCAAAGAGGCTGCAATCCTTACCCCTCTTACCTGAGGGTAAGCCCCGTTGAATTCACGTCTGAGTAAACATGGTTAGGTTTACTCAGCTCTGAACCAAAAAGTTCCCAGTTAAAATGGTTTCTTATCTTCTTGTGCACACAAAAGACAAGAGGGAAGGGCTGAGCACATGTGCCTGTCTTTCTCACATAGCAGGAAGACATTGTTCACATGATATCTAAACCAGCAGCCGTCTGTAAGTCTGTAGATGAGAATGGAAAGCAAGAAAGAAATGTCTTCTCTGAATGAAATCCTATTTGGATGTGATTTTGGTTGGGTGTGTATCTAATGCCTAAACTTCAGCCTTGCCTTTGATGCACCCATGTACGTTTGCCGTGCTTGGGAAGTTCTTCGTTTATCACACTCAAGAAGCAATTCTCAATTTGTTTTTGTCACCCTCCTAACACAATCACTAACAGGTTCTGGTTCTGGTTTTGCTGTTGCCTTTTCTTCTCTTTCTCTCTTGGCATGAGCATGTGTGCATGCTTCCTACCCCTGTACTCCTTGCTGGAATGGGGTACCTGTTTACTGAGGTGTCAGCACTTAAGGAGGAACCACATCAGAGCAACTGGATGCAGCTGCCATTAGATCACCGCCAGCCTCTGGCTAGCAATAGAGCAGCTGCACTCAGCAGGTTTGCAAACATTAAGGTCAAACAGTAATGAGGATCTATTAAAAGTGTGGTCAGGTGTGGAGAAAAAAGAAACATGCACGGTATAATCTGCCTGTGGTTGCTGTTGGTCTTCTATATCTAACAAATACCCTCCTTTAGCAAAATACGTTTCCTCTGTTGATGCTGTTGGTCTTCCATATTTAGGGTTGTATCCATGCAGTGTGAAGCAGAACATTCTACCAGCATGATGATTTCTCCTAGCACGATGGAACGAACTTCTCCTCTCTTTCCCCACCATACCTGCTAAATCTGTTTTGGGGGTTCCCCCAACCTTTCACAGCATATTTTGGGATGGTGCACGATGTGTGCAGGAGGAAATGGGGTGAGATTCCATTACGCTTGATTTTTGTGGGATGTGATACATAAGTAGCAGTCAAGTACAACATTCCTTGTTTTCCTAGAGTGGACGTGCAAGGGGATGTTTGGTCCAGCCAGTCAAATACTTCCCTTTTCCCTCCTGGCTGGGACATACTTCCTTTGCATGTGACTAGAGGTGGGCGTGACCTTACCTGTCCAGGTAACAAAAGCACAAGGCACACAGCACTCTCTCTCTCTTTGACTTCCTCCATCATTGGAGCAGCTTTTTAGCTAGAGATGCTCTGTTGGCTTCCAGCCAACAGAGGACACTGGGATTATCCCCATATGGGATAGTTCCACATGTATATACTTTGTAACTAAGTCTGCCTTCAGGGATCCAACTGTGAACTGATGATGATGTGGGTAAACTTCTTTTATTGACTTTACAAAAGATTGTGGCGTGCTTATTCTTTTAGGAAGGATATAAGGAGACTTACCAAGAATCTAGTATTGAGAACCTTAAACAAGCCTGCAACCAGCTATCTGCTGTGCATTAAAAAGGGAAATTAAGACTGCTATGTTATAGAACTTGCTAGAACAAGTTAGGAAGGAGATTAATAAACAATATATCCTCTCCTGCCTCCCGGAACATTCCCACAATTTTTGCACCAGCACACCTATTGAGTAGAACACTGTCCGTAGTGGTGTGCACTGATCACAAGATTCAGATTTGATCTGGATTCAGCACTTCTTAAAACAATTTGCCTTCCTCTGAGGTGTTTTGTAGGTTGCATGATTTGATTCACCCATCTGAGTCCACCTGGTTTTCATTCCTGCTATCCGCAACTGGGTAATTGTTGTTGTTTTTTAAATTTACTTTCCTTCCCCCTGGAACCCCACTTTGGCTTTCAATACTTACATAGTATGGGGTGGGCCAGGAGGGCTGTAGCCCCAGTGCATGATTTTGAGGGGGTGTGAACCAGGTGCCCCCATGCAAGGATCCCCGTACTGCCCTGCCTGCCGCTGGGGGTCTCTGGGTCCCAGAGCCCAGCCTGGCCTTGCTGCCGTGCCCCCAATTCCCTCGCTGAATAGCTGCCAAGCCAGTGTTGGGGGGATGCACCCACCAAGGGCCATGTCAGCCGTGCGGACTCCCCCCTGCACCAACCGGCAGTGCAGTGTGGTCCCGTGAACCCTCTGTGCCCACTGCCCACCTGGTGGCATCAGCATTGAGGACTGAGCTGGTGCAACACCACTGAGTCATAGAAATCTTTTGCACCCCTTTTTGCTTCACGTAGATGCTCTAATGAGGAATGTGACAAATGCTTTGTATAGGAAAGTCAGGTGCTACCCACGCCTGATCAACATAATCTAAATAGAAATTGGAGAAGAGGAAGCTGTCGTGCACAACAGAAGGGAGGTGGTGTAAGAAGCGATTAAGGAATGGCACTCAGAGGAAAGAGCTGGGTGCCAGCCACTGGAACGGGGTCAGATGAAAATGTGTGTCTGTTGCAAGGCATTCCAAAGCAACAGGACAGAGAATGAGGACGAGATGATGAAGGGAGCCCAAAGGGTGAGACCATGAAATGAGAGATGCCCCCAACTCTGGTTCTGTTATCTTTCTGCATTTGGACATGAGTTTTTCTGCATATTGCAACTCCCCAGCTCACTCAAGTTGGGAAGAGCGGGGGAATCAGAGGGAAGGAAAACATGGCTGTCAAAAGCCATTTGCAATTTTGAACTGGAAAACTTGGAAGTTTTCATTATGTTCAAGCAAATTTAGCCAAATGAAAGCATTGCCGAAGCAATGTTTGAATAGTGTATAAATTAAAGCATGAAAGCATCTACTTCCTCATTTTAATTGCTAAAATGCCTCAAGGGTGTTATATATTAGATGAAGGAGAACCCTTAAAAGGATCTTAATATCTCTCAGGGGGGGAAGCTGATAGCAAGACACAGAGTTACTGTGCCTTTTGTGTTTTACAGATACCCAGAGTTCAGAAGGAATTCTGACAGACATGCCACTTTGCAATCCTTACATTTTTTCTTTAAAAGTCCAACATCGTCAAATCTTGCAATAGCTCAGATGTTGCAAATTTCCTGTGATGCTTTGGCAAAGAGTTTACATTTCAAACAACTGCAGCAGTTTGATGGGAATCCTGAGGAGAACTTGGTCCCACACGCTCTGTTTGAGAGAATGGAAAAGCACCTTGTATTGACACAAAACATGTGCTTATCAAAAGCTGTTTTTGTTTCGTTTGTAATTAACCACCGACTCTGGGTGCTTAAAAACCGCATTGTGACCTGACCTCACCTACAGGTAAAAAGTACTTGGAGAATTAAGACAACATTTTACACAATCTAATCTTTTGCAGACTCGAAAAATGTGCCATTTAAAATGTCATCCGAGGATGAAATGGACAAATTACCCAAAATGATTAATGTAAAATTAGGGTTATGTTGATGGAAATGGCATTGATTAAAAGGTTAGGAAGTTTTATAGACGAATTATGCAGAAAGAGGCAAATTCCCCGCGGCAGTGTGAAATGTTGCTAACGGATCCTGCATTCACAGAAAATTTTATTTCGTGATTGTCCAGTCAGTTTTTTAATGGGTGTGTCTAGCACTCACCTACAGTCAGGTTAATGGTGCAGTTTTGATGTAGATATTTAAAGCTAGAACTGATGTACAGCACCATATAAAAGAATGAAAAGCAATCAGTTCATGGGATGTCCGTTTCTGGTGCATAGTACATAGATGATTAGCTTACTAATGGTGCCTGATGCAAAATTATGGTTTCTTTTGGCTTTCAAACACCATTATCAGGTCATGATCTGACCAAACACTTCACCTAGAGCAGGGGTGTCCAAGTGGTTGACCCCGATCAACAGGTCGATCCCCGGATGATCGTGGTGGATCGTGAAATTCTTCTCGCTCGTGTTGTTTAGAATCATGTCTTTGCCCCCTCCCTCTCGGTCTTTCCCTGCGTCGCGTTTAGTGAGCGTTCCTTTGTTGTCTACTGTAGCACTGTGTTCATCTGTTAGTGGCTGTGCTGTTGGTGAGCAATTTATTTTAATTCTGCACAGTTACTGTTTAAAAAAAAGGTCAAAAGTTTCGGGAAGCTGCCCTAAAAAAGCTCAACCACTTCGACCTGCCCCCCTAAAAAAAGCTTAACTACTCTGAACTCAATACCTGCCAGTCCCCCCCCCCCCCAGGAGAGAAACTCCCTCTTGGGAGTTGTGCTTCGAGCCCCCAAACCCATCCCCCATGGAAATAGAGACAGAGTGGAGACAGAATTTAGTTTAAATGTTAATGGGCAAATTTTGGCCACAACTTTATTAAAATACACAAATGTGACTGGTATTGATGTAGGCATTGGTATCAAACTATACAGTGGTGCCTCGCAAGACGAAATTAATCCGTTCAGCGAGTCTCTTCGTCTTGCGGTTTTTTCGTCTTGCGAAGCACGGCTATTAGCGGCTTAGCAGCTATTAGCGGCTTAGCAGCTATTAACGGCTATTAACGGCTTAGCGGCTTTAAGAAAAAGGAAACAAACTCGCAAGAACTCGCAAGACGTTTCGTCTTGCGAAGCAAGCCCATAGGGAAATTCGTCTTGCGGAACGACTCAAAAAACGCAAAACCCTTTCGTCTAGCGAGTTTTTCATCTTGCGAGGCATTCATCTTGCAGGGCACCACTGTATTTGGCTCCTGCCCCACCCTGCAGGAAGCCTGGAAGGGCAAACAACCAGCAGGGGGAGCTCCATCAATGTATATAGACTGGTGCTCAACCCTGGGGTTCCCGGGGGTCCTGGCATGGCCCTAGCCCCTCTCCAGGCTTCAGACAAGATCCAGACCCCTGGATTCCTTTAACGGAATACCCTATTCATTGGAGAGGCAGGTGATGGCTGCACCTCCCCTCCCCACATTCCCCCCAAACCAATGCCTAACCGCCTAACCTTACAAAGTTGTGACGATTGCTAAGAAGTAGGCAAAAACCAAGTGGCCACAGCCAATCTGCCACACTGGAAAATATTCCTACCCGGCACCCATTCCAAAACAGGCGACCAACCGAAGTCCAAAGCAAGGCCAAACACGACCTAATTAATGGGTGGGTGGGCGGGTGTTCGGCAACACGAAGCAAAAGGAGGTCCCTACATCGCATTGCCAAATAAATACCCCCAACCTTGCCACGCTGCTGATTGGCTAAAGGCCATTGGCATAACTGTGGCACCACCGGCTTGGAGCGGGGCAAGCCCCGCCTACAAGCCAGTTAGGGAAGAGTTTCAGTGCCGAGAACAACATGGAGCCTCTGTTAGGAGGATCCAACTTGGACGTCCCTGACCTAGAGCATAATTTGTGAACTTCCAAAGCAGGACAAAAAGAAGACGGATGATTTGACGGAGGTGAATTTGTAAGCCACCACTTGAGCATCAAAGGACATCCCTTTATTATCATGGGAATACAGTAAGTAAGTACCGTATTTTTCGCACTATAGGACGCACTTTTTGTGAGATAAGATGGCGCCCGGCACACTTCCCCTGTGCCTTTGGATGCTTGTGCCTATAGAAAACTTGAGCTCTTTGAAGCTCTTAGCAGAGTTCTTAGCAGTGGTAGAAAGTGTTGCCTTGTGTGTGGATAATAAATCAGACTGAACGCAGGCTTCTTGCTAATCTCTAACAGCCTTTAATGAGAAGAAAAACATCATAAATCAGTCCCGGCGAGAGAGCGGACATTCTTTCGTCTCTCAGCCAAAAACGAAAGGAAGCTCACACACAAAGGATTCCCGTATGTGAACCAAACCACGACTCAGAATGTGAGACGTCACACAGAACTGTTTAACCCTGTAAGTTCTGATTCTCCTCACACTTTTTCACCTCCAAAAATTAAGAGGAAATGTGTGTGCATCCTATGGAGCGAATGCAGGCTTTCGCTGAAGCCTGGAGAGCGAGAGGGGTTGGTGCGCACTGACCCCTCTTGCTCTCCAGGCTTCAAGAAGCTATCCACAAGCCTTGGGAGCTCGGCGGGAGTGCCCGCTGGGCTCCCAAGGCTTGCGGATAGCAGCCTGCATCCCGAAGTCTGGGGCGCGCTGAGCAGCGCGCCCTGGGCTTCGGGCAGATATCCGCAAGCCCTGGGAGCCCGGCGGGAGTTCCCGCTGGGCTCCCAAGACTTGCGGATAGCCGCCTCCAAACCCGACCTGGTTTGCAGGCTGGAGGTGGGGAAAGCAGCGCTCCCCCCCACCAGCACCAAAGAGCAGGTCGAAAGGAACCCAAAGCCTCCAGAGCCCAGCGGGAACTCCCACTGGGCTCCGAAGGCTTTGGGTGAATGCACCCTGAACGCACAGAACGCACCTTGACTTAGAGGGGGAGAACAAGAAAAAAAAATTTTTTCCCTGTTCTCCGTGCGTCCAATAGAGCGAAAAATACGGTAAGTAAGTAAGTGAGTAAGTAAGTAAGTAAATAAATAAGCAAATTTTAGAGGTTCCACCTGCTTGGGCAACATGTTCATTTTGAGGGCGACTCACAAGAACTAATGTCTCCAAAGGAGCTGTTCTGCATGGGCAACTATTTGCAGGGAGGGGTTCCTTTTGCAGACAATGACTCTCAATTCAACTTTCTCAGAAGGTGGAACTTCTGTAGTGCTGCAGCTTTGGTGGTGGTGGTGAGCAAGAACCATTCCATGTGAAAAGAGCTTCTGTGAAGGAATTTTCTAAAGAGATTCTAGGAACCAAAGTGTGTCATTGTCATCGATATGCGTTTCGCTGAATCTTAGCAAATATTTGCAATAGGGTTTGTTTGCAGACCAAACCACTCTGGTCACTGTACAACCCTGATCACTGCAATTTTTTTTTTCCTTCAAAAAATGAATACTTAAGCATTAACGACCTTTATATGAGGAATGCATGAATTAAAATTGGAGGATTCAGCTCTGCCTTTGGATATGGATGAGCAACAGCTCACTGACTTTGATAGAAAGTTGTACTCGTATATCTCAGGGCATAATTCAGCAGAGAAAAGACTCCACTTAAATGTTGCGCTAATAATCTTTCAGATGCATTATAGAGTTTGTATGTAGAGGATGTATGGCTTGCAGGCAGGAACAGAGGAACAAATAACCATCGGGCCACAAGTTTGTCTTCTCTGCCTTCAAATCCCATAGCAGGAATATTACCATCTTAAAAAAAAATCAAGGCACACAGTTTGTTGTTGTTTTGTTCTTTTTTTTCTAAAGGAAAAGCTACAAATGACACTGAAAATGCCCACTGGCTGCTAAAAATGTAAGTTGGATCAATTATACTTTTTAAAAGATTAAAGGTCAGGTTTTTTCCTCTCATTTTAAACTACAGCATTATTACTTTCTGGTTTTAAAGAACACCAGAATCTATTTGTTTTACAGCAAAATAAAATGCAGGGCTTCGTTTGAATATTATTGGGAGTGGAAGCCACTGTCGCAGTATCACAATGGGGGAAAACCTCAGGCCCTCCAGACTTCTTTATCTGGCCCTTGGAGATTCTTCCCAAGCCACACTCTCTTCCCCTTCCATGCCACACCCCCTCACTACCCTTGTGTGGTTTAGTGGTTTAGTGACATGCAGAAGGTCCCAGGTTCAATCTGGGTTTTCCAGGTAGGTCTGAGAAAGATTCCTGGTCTGAAACCCTGGAGACCTGCTGATAGTCGCTGTGGACAATTGTCAAGGAGCTGTCAAGTGAGTCCAGGTCATCCACAGGGCAGGAAAGCATGGGAGGCACAGAATGCAATTAGTTTATTAACAGAAAATAGCAACACAGCAGAGTCCTCTGACACATTGCTGAAACTGACCACTAGCTCCACCCTCCTCTCTAGCCTTTCACTCTGGATCCCTCCCAAGCAGACAAAGAAGAAGAAGAAGAAGAAGAAGAAGAGGAGGAGGAGGAGGAGGAGGAGGAGGAGGAGGAGGAGGAGTTTGGATTTGATATCCTGCTTTATCACTACCCTAAGGAGTCTCAAAGTCGCTAACATTTTCTTTTCCCTTCCTCCCCCACAACAAACACTCTGTGAGGTGAGTGGGGCTGAGAGACTTCAGAAAATGTGACTAGCCCAAGGTCATCCAGCAGCTGCATGTGGAGGAGCGGAGAATCGAACCTGGTTCACCAGATTACGAGACTACTGCTCTTAACCACTACATCACACTGGCTGCATCATGTGGGTGGGTTCCTCCTCTGGGCCTCTCTGGCCCATTGCTCAGCAACATGCAGGACTTTCCACAAGCAGGACATCAGAGGGGGAGGAGAGCCAGCAGGACTGGGACTGTCCTGCTGATGGGTAACAAGGGCAACTTCTGACTCCTCTCTGAGTCTGCGCTCACACTGTGACTCTCAGCCTCTAACCCTGTCCTGGAAGGCCCTTCTTCTTCTGACCCACCTTGATCACTCAAACCCTCTGCTTCTAGCACCTCCCAGCCCATTCCTTTTGCAGACTGCTCTTCAGTGTCCCACCACCACAATCCAGGGTTTAAGTTGTCATCTTTTTTGTCCTCCCTGGGGGGCCTTTGGGCAGGCAGCTCCAACCTCTCTTCCTCATCCAGCCAGTCCCTGACATCAATACCATAGCTGTCAACTTTTCCCTTTTCTTGCGAGGAATCCTATTCAGAATAAGGGAATTTCCCTTAAAAAAAGAGAAACGTTGACAGCTATGATCAATACTGAACTAAGTTGAGAATTCTAAAATATCTTGGTAGGAGGGAGCTTATCATTAGTTTCAGTACATGGTTTTTGTTGGCACCATTTTCAAGTGCTAGCAGAGTTGCCCTAAGCATCCTAGTGGCTCTTCTTTCTCATGGGGAAAAGGAGGACTAATGGTGACCAGATGAAGACAGCCATCTTTTCCCTCTCCAAGGATGTCCAAGGATTGAGGGAATTGTCAGCTGTATCATCTTCAGTGGTAAATCTCCTCTCACCTAAATATCTTATATTCTACCAACTTTACTGTATGCTTGTAAAACGTGGACCACTCATAAACGCCATCTCCAACTCCTTGAAAGTTTCCATCGATGGCATTTCCAAAAAAATTTACATG